TCGAATGGAGCAAAAAGACATAGTAAGGGGAGAAGACTTTTGAAGTTTGAAAATATTTAGCTTCCAAGAAGAGACTTGAATATTGCGGCACTGAACTACAAGCTTGGGCAGATAAACGCATATTAGGTTTTCAAGCTCGAGTTGAGGTTTGTAAATTTAGATTAGAACTTTTCAGGAAATAAGGATGAAGGTGGAATGATAGAGAATTTCAAAGAGTCAAAGACGTCCTGGTGGGATTATTTCATAAACAAAACGTATCCTGGAAGCAGTGGTCTAAGGAGTTTTGGCTTAAGTAGGGTGATAGGAGTACAATTTTTTTCATTATGCAGTGAAAGAATGCAGGAGGCGTAACAGATTCAAAGGGTTACGTCTTCAAAATGGGAACTTGGAGGTTGATAAATGTAAAATCAGTGTTTAATTGATGGTTATTTCACAAAACTTTATACATTAATCAAAATGGGAATTGGAAGGTTGATAAATGTAAAACTAGTGGTTGATGGCGATCGACAAGCTCTCAAAGGCATAGCAGTCACATGCCACCCTTCCACGACACTAGTTGATGCGAAAACTCTCAAAAAAAACCTCGCCGATGGAATCACTCTCTCTAAAGGAAAAGAACGATGCATACAAATGGAATGATATGGGTTTGATCGATGCTATCTTATAACCTTATTATGTTCGGCGACATTATTTTGGTATGGGGCTACAAATATTCCTTTGGCCCACTTTTGGGCCTCCTTACTTTATTTTGTTTGGATGTTTTGTTTTGCAAACCATCCATACCCTTTTCCTGTATTTTTTGCACTGTTTTGTACACATCTTTTATGACTTTAATAAAATACACAATTTCCACCAAAAAAATGTAACATTAATTGTTGACATTGTTGATTACTTCACACAACTTTATAGATTAGACCAGAGTCGACTCGATCTGGATGTTTTACCATAAGTAACCAGATTATCATATGAACAAAGTAGTGTCATGATGAGGCTGATTAATGCTTTAGAAGTCAAGGTGGCAGTATTTGCTATGCATCCAGATAAAGCACCAGGTCTAGATGGTTTAAATTCTGATTTTTATCAACACTACTTGAACATTCTTGGAGAGGACATTGTTACATTTTGTCAACACTTGTTCACTTCAGGATATATTCCTAGGGAGGTAAATCGCACTAACCTAATATTAATGCCAAAAAAAGGATAAGCCGGAAACACTTAGTAATTAGAGACCTATAATGTTATGCAATGTTATCTATAACATTTTTACAAAAGTTATGGATAATATATAATCAAAGTGGTGCTTAAGGGGTTAGTTTCTAATAATCAGAGTGCATTTGTACCACGAAGGTCCATTGTGAAAAATGTGATGGTAGCATTTGAAACACTGCATTTTTTAAAACAGAAAAAGAGGTGAAATGAAGGATATGTGGCTCTAGAATAGGATATGAGCAACGCGTATGATAGGATGCAATGTATTCTTTAGAGATGATTATGAGATTAGTGCATTTTAATCCGAGGTGCATAGATTTAGTAGAGAATGCATGACGACTATATGGCCGGGGTACTCTATTCCTTTTGAGAGGAACAAGGTGGGACCGATTATACCTCAAAGAGGTATATGACAAGGGGAACCTTTATTTCTTTATATGTTTATTTTGATAACAGAAGGCTTAAGTGCTTTGATCGGAAAACATGAAAACTTGGGCAACGTACGTAGTGGGAATTGCTATAGCGAGAGGTGCTGCATGAGTGTCTCATCTTTTTTTTTTTTGCTGAAGATAGCTATTTGTTCTTTAGAGACCATGAGAGGGAGTGTGAAGGGGTTAAGTCTATATTGCATTCCTATGAAATTTGCCGGGTCGGGTCAAAAGGTGAACTTTGTTAAGTCGACTATTAATTTCAGCCCAAACGCAACTGATGATTATAAGATTAAGATATGTTATTATCTTGGGGAGGTTCAGAAAGGGGACAATCCCCTTTATTTGGGTTCAACAGAACTGATTGGGAGACGGAAGATTGAAATCCTTGGGTACTTGAAAGAAAGAACTTTAAAAAGAATACACAGCTTGAATAATAATTTTTTGCATAAGGAAGAGAGGCTATGCTAAAGATGGTGATTCAAGCTATGCCAACTTATGCCATGAACGTTTTCCTACTCCCAAAGGTATTATTATGTTCAGAAGTGGAAATTCTAATGAATGATTATTGATGGCACGAGGATGATAATACTAGAATGGGTATTCAGTGGTCTCGATGCAATGGAAGGCTCTATGTAAACCAAAGAACAATGGAGGATTATGATATAAATCTCTTCGGAAATATAACTTAGCTATGCTTTGAAACCAAGCATGGAGACTAGTCGCTCATTCTGATTTGCTAGTGAGTAAAATATATACAGCCCGATATAATCTTAATTCTTCATTTTTGCAGGCAGATTTGAGAGTGTACCCTTCATTCATCTGGAGTAGTATTATGCAAATATAGGATTTGCTAGCAAGGGGGGCTTTAAATACGGAGAGAGTAAGTGATACACGGATACATAAATGAGAGTTTAAGGTTTTTGAGTATGGGAAATCGACACGAGAGAGCTCTCAAATGTCTATATAATTAAATGTTATACATATACTCCTTTGTTCATGTATTTATCTATTTTTACGTTTTTTGTTATGTATTAAACTAAATTTATCGCATACCACATTTACTAATATTTAAGTGATTGCAATTCATTATTACTTTAGCCTTAATTACTCTATCAGTGTATTGTCAACCATCCAACTTATTTTTTTGGTAATCAAATCATTCTCTCATGTCTCATTTTTACATTATTCAACTCATTTCAATCTAAAGTCAACCCTGTGAACGAGTAAAAATCAAATTAGTCAACCAACGCATGCCTTTAAAATCACAGCTTTCACCCTTCGCCATATATTTAAGGCATTTTTCCCATCAGTTGACACCAAGCGTCTTTCTACGTGCTGCGAGCTATCAGGCTGAAATTCCTTCTTCTGAAAATTAGCCAATTGATATTGTGTGTTTCTATATAAAGATAAAGATATGCTGTGAGTTTATATATTATGCATTCTTCTTGTTCGACGTTTATAAACTTTAATTGTATAATTATATAGTCTTTTAATTTGTTTTCATATTAATTCATGTTTTAATTGTGATCCACACTTAATTCTTCTTAATTATCAGAAGCATGTTTCAGATGAAGACTTCTCACACTGACCCGGATACTCAATTTTCCGGGAAGGAATCAAAGGTAATAATGGGGGCTATAATTATTGTACAAGAATCAAATTAAACTATATGTAGAACAGTTGTTTTCTAGCATTTCTATTACAGGCTTTCAGCTCTCTCATTTCACCAACCAATTAAGGTGGAGAATAAGGTTCACAATCTTTAAGTGAGTAAACAAGTTGTATTTCAAAAGTTCTAATTTTGCTCAAATCATTCTCATCTCTGTGTTTATTTCCGTTTTTAAGATCTAGTTTGTCTGATTTTTTTATTAGGTTTGCTTTGAATCTACTAATATAATTAATTTGATCTCAGTCTTTATATTTAATTGATCTGGAGAGACTTTATCATATAATATATTGTTTCCGGATTTATCTGAACCCTTATTCATCTTACTTTGGGAGCGGAGTGTTTTCTAAAAATTAAAAATAATGTTTTTCTTCTTTTGACTTAAAAATTGAAATGAGTGGTTTCTAATGCTTATACTTAAATTAAGCACTTAAAAGCTAAATTCTGGAAGTATGTAGAATGATGCTTTAAAATGTTTTCCCCTTTTTTTATTACAGAAAAAACACTTATTTTACCAAATACTACGTACTACCAACTTTTATTTTTTAAAGGCACTTTTTTAAGCACTATCAACTTTTACGATTAAGTAAAAGTTTGTGTTCCCATCTATGCACCTTGACATGAACAAATTGAACTTTGCACTCTGTTTTTAAAAATCTTTGTTTTTGCGCCACAACTCAATTCGAAAAGACAAAAATGTCCCTCCATTAAAAAATATGTTGACCTTCAATATATTCCTGATCGAGAGCATTTTTTGTTTTTGAACGAAGAGATTATTTAACTTGATATTTAGAAATTATCACATTGGACTATATTTATAGTGTCGTTCACTAATCCGTCTTTTTGTAGCTATGCGAAATTAAATAAAAAAGTATGATAAATCTCTTCAATCCAGTTTGAGGTATACGCTTTTCATACACACGTACACACTCGTGTTTGTGAAAGTTTTTTTTATCTGTATTCAGGCATAACGTATTTTCAAATACGTTGCATGTGTTTGTATACAGACAAAAAGAAACACTTCACAGACACCAGTAAGTGTATACGTGTGTATGAAAAGTGTGTAAGAATACATTTTTTTCAAATCTCTTTAGTTACTCAATGCAGATTAGAGAATTAAGGCTTGAGCCATTAACGGGACGCAGTTTGAAGTACTGCACTGATGCTTGTTTAAGGCGATGTTTGGAGGCTCGAAATTGGAATGTTGAGAAAGCCAAGAAAATGTTGGAGGAAACGCTCAAGTGGAGATCAATGTATAAACCAGAAGAAATACGGTGGGTAAGTGATGTACTGTGTGATTGTTTCCCTTTAAAAGAGATTTTTTAAATTGATTTTGGAGAAAAGAGTAAATAGTAAAAAATGATAACGTTTGAGAAAAAAAAGGATTTTAAATAGCAAAAATTGGTATTGTATAGTATAAAATAGGGAGTACTACTTTTTTGTATAATAGAAAATTTCACATAAATTCTAATGTTTGAGCACACGCATTTGTTTGTGTTCCCATCTATGCACCTTGACATGAACATTAATGATTGTTTATACATGGGCACAATGTCTAAGCACATAGTCCCATTTTAGTTAGTCAAACTTGACTTTTCAAGTCAATGACGTCTAACTTTGACCGCTTATATGTTTATATAGTGAAAATATTGATAATATGAAAATGATATGAAATTGTTCTTTGTTTAAAAATACTATCATGAAAGTATAAAATTAGTAAATTTTGCATAATATGAAAATGATATGAAATTGTTCTTTATAGTATTATTATTGTTAATTTGTTAGTATTGTATGTATCAATGCATAGTTACCGTGACCCTATGTACAAAAGGATAAACTTTTGGGAAAATGGAAACTAATAATCCAACCTTTTAGTGGTCTTCTTATAATAGTCTCACCTTTTGATTATTCATGAATAATCCAACCTTTGCACCTCTTCTTCATTCACTGGTCCCTGACCGATTGATGACGTGCTATTCCAAGTTATTTTCTTATCTTTGTAAGCCATTATACCATAAATCTCACCTTTCACAAAGATAATATTTTGCAAAGATAAGAAAATAACTTGGAATAGCAGGTCATCAACCGGTCAGGGACCAGTGAATGAAGATGAGGTGCAAAGGTTGGATTATTCATGAATAATCAAAAGGTGAGACTATTATAAGAAGACCGCTAAAAGGTTGGATTATTAATTTCCATTTTCCCTAAACTTTTGGGCCCATTTGAAATGATGTAAAGTAAACACTTTGCATGTGAAGTATAGGGAAGTAATCGTTTTATATCGTTTGTTTTAATTACTTAATGTAAACTGTAGGACACTTTTTAAAAAACATTTTACACCGTATCATGTAAACTATTTTACGTGAGGGGGAGAGTGGTACACTACTTTATATCGCTGATACGGATGATAAATTATATGCGGCTCCAACCTTCCTATTTAGCTCTACTTTCGACAATTAAGCTCTCGATGTCACTCCTTAGAAATTGAAAGCCTTTAGTGGATTCACACGGTTCTGGAGAGATTATTCCATATAGGCATATTCTCCTACTAGTTGGGAGTTATAGAATATTCAATTGCTCTAGAGCTAATTTTCTTCAACTTCTTATTAAAAAAATCAGTTTCCTCTCGTGCATAATAAAAGAGAATCGTGAAGAACACAATCAATCGTCTTCCCAAAATCGTGATTTCAGCAAAATCGTGCTGCTGTTAGGTGTGGATGGATGGAACGACCATGATACATGCTTCGATCCCCTTTACGTGTGAACTTATTTTTTGAGTTAAACAATGTATTTATTTTGCATGTATTTTTAAAATGGATCGCATATACCTCCTCAAACAATGTGCTTTTATTTTACGTATAAAATGATTATGTCGCTACATTTTATGTGCAATCACTCTACATGTAAAACTTTAATATGTAAAGAACCAAACGCCCCTTTGTGTACACTATTCACAATTATTATTATTCCACAAAAGGACTATAAGTCTATAATCGAGTTCAAGTTTTAAATGCTATGATCAGATTGAAGTGGCACAAGAAGGAGAAACCGGAAAAGCATTTAAAGCCAATTTTCAAGACCGGTTGGGAAGGCCAGTACTAATTAGGAATTTTATCATTTAGGGACCTCAAAGTTGAGCATTCTATCATTTAGGGACCCGAAAGATAAACTCTATCATTTAGGGACCTATAGTATTAGAATCTCTCAATTTAATGCTCAAAATTTTAACACCGTTAACTTGCTTCTAACGAAAAACTGATGTGGCACTTGATTTATTAAAAAAATATTGTTTCGTAAATAAAACTGCCACTTCATCAGTCTGAATCATTGCTCTTCTATTCCATCTCAACGTAAAGTTGATTAATGATGTCTTATCCTTACATTTTCACCGACAGCCAGAAACTCCACAATTCTATTCATCTTACCTCACCTACAGACCTCTTCATCTTCAACCCTCACCTTCGCGGATCGAAACTGTCTTTCAAAGACATCTGAGAAAACAGGTGAAGAGCAAGAGAGATGTAGACCTTCCACGGCGCCAAAGCCAAGAGTGATATCGCGAATACTCATCCATTTATAGAGTACCAAAAACAAAGAATGACTTGCTTGTTCTCGTCAACTGTTTCCCTTCGAAGAGCTTCGTCTTCCCCGACACTGCCTCCCTGTTACTTTATTATGAGAAGAGAATCCAGAGCTTAGTTTACCGATAAATTTTGTCCGCAAAAAGGAGAGACGGTATGACATCTGCTTCTTAATTAACTCTATTCCTTTTCTCTCTATAAGAAAATTAGGTCGCATATTTGATAAATCCCCCACCCAACTTAAAAGATGCTTGAATACGTAAAGCCTCTCTCAATAGCTTCTTCATGGGAAAATAAGTGTTATGTCCTCTTTGGGTTAGATGCATCTGAATTTTATTGCAAGATTCTTCTAATGAGATTTAGAATTTCTAGTCCTTGGTGTTATTAAATTATAAATAAGATCCAATTTTATTAAAAAGTCAAGGTAATCGACTAAACTTTGAATGATATGGATTTTGTATATATCTATTCTTTTTCCCTTTTTGAGAGTAGAATTTGGATGTATATTTTTCTTAGTTTCTTTTAGGCTTATCATGCTCTCATTTGGTGGATTTTAGTAGAGTACTTTGGATTTTTAAAAGGAAAAATTCACATCAATAATCCCACCTAAATGGGTTCTTCTCATATTAATGTCATGTATGTGTAATTCCAAAAGAATCTGAATTTAAGAGGTATCCTTCTCAAAATAGTCTTAGGTGACCTGCAACCTGCTGTTTAACAGGTAAACATCCTCAAGGTATCTACCTTTCTATTACTGAAAAAAACTCATGTCATCTCCCTCGTGTTGCCACCCATCCATTAATCTCTTCTCAAGTCTTTTTTTTCTTTCTCCTTATCTTGATCTTGCTACCTAACCGTGTATGGACTGAATAAATTGGACAAATTTTCGAAAGAACAAGATGACGGGCAGATAAGGATGAGGGAGCCATGGTGTGTACTGTCTAGGTTCACAATATTCATTCTCTAGAAAAATGGGAAAAGAATGGAAAATAAAAAAATATGAAGCCCAATTATATTAAGCCACGTGGGTGGGCACCTGCCGAAGTTGTTTATTCAGGTCACAGGTTCATTTTTACAAGCTACCCATATAGTTTAAATTAGTTTGGAAGTATACATAATTGGGATTAATATGAGAAGATCATCAATAAGTGAGATTAATCAAGTGAATTTTTCTCTTTTAAAAACGCATACATCATTGAGAGTAGTAAAAGCTTTTCTTCTCTTGTTTTTCTAGAGTGCATCAGAACTAGAGTGCAGAGAAGTAAAAAGCATGACTCAGTAGATTTTGCAGGTAAGCAACTTTGGAGTTGGTGTCACACCCGAGGCTCTATTTGATGCTTTGGCTAAAACGCTTACAGTGTGATGGGAGAAGACAATCATAGTTGTGATGAATGAAGTCCCTCTTAGCAGTCCCCACCTTCCTAAGTCGGTGAAGGGTGGCACACCTGCTGCCAATGACAAAGGATGTGGAAAGTGCTTGGATTTGAGAGGAAGAGATTACAAGTTCGCAACTCTAGATAGTAAATGCATTCATCTCTCCTGGGGGGCTTAGTATATGATGTTGCATCAAAAGTCTGTTGGAGAAACGTTTCTACAATATTCATAATTATAACTTGTATGCATCAGATTCTTGATCTTAAAATAGTACAAATTTTGCATCAGATTCTTGGTCTTAATGACGTTGGACTAAACTCCGATAATTTTTTCTCATCTATTTCATTCTCTCGTATGCTCTGCCATTTATTTCTGGGTGTGCCCGGCCATAGACTAAGACCAATGTGGTTTTTAAACAACCAAATGGTGAATCAACTCCCCCCAACTTTTCTAGGAAAAAAAAGATTTTGTAGGTAAAGCTATCATGATTTGTTTAATAATTTGTTTCATTTTGTTTTGCAGGTTTCCATTCGTTCAAAACAAACAGTGATGACGAGGCAAGTGAATATGATAGTACAAACCACATCTTGCAAGTGATCCACTTTGCACTATCAATCTCATAACTACTTAATCAACCGGTAAATTGCTAACAATAACATGCTTATATACCTATAGGAAAAGAAAATGTATTTCCTTTGCTAATAATTATTATTGTTATAAGATATAAAGAGGCTGTATTATTAAAATGATGCATAAAAATAATATAATTACAAACATTGTAAATGAAATGTCGAACGGATTAGTATAAATAAAATTTGTGATTGAAACGAATACTTTAAAAAACTGAAATACGCCATCTTAAAAGCAGATCAAAGAATCTCTAATAAAAAATATTAAAATGCAATAAGCTATAAAATAAATAGTCATTTAAGAAGTGCTGATCAAAGCAAAGATTCAAAGAAACATTCCTCCTCTGAGAGTGTATTATGTCATCTCTACAAGAATTGCTCTCGTCTTCTTATCTTGTCTTCAACTGTGAAAATGGAACATCTCAGGTTAATTCCTGTCCAGAAAAACAGAATGAGACATGAACAATGTAAATAATGATCCTCATGTTATCTCCTGTCAAGAAAAAATAGTGTGACTAGAGTAGCTATGAAATAGTTAAAACTCATACCTGTTCATTCTCTTTGCAAGACCTTTTATTATGACCAAGTTGTCTACATTTACCACACTTAATCATTCCATACTTTCTCTTAGCTTTATGAGGATCCTTTCCTTCTAATGAGGATTTGTGCCTTTGCTTTTTTGGCCTGCCTGGTGGTCTCTTTAGCAAAGGTGGCATGATTGGCTCATTGTCGGTTATAGGCCAGATATCAGGGCCTCCCATTGGATTTATTTCACACTCATAGGCCCTAAAAAAATACTCTCGTGTAAAATATTCATGTATATAGTTTTCTGGCCTACCTTTGATAGACTTTATGGCAGCACAAGCATGAATACAAGGTACACCTGTCAAGTCCCATAACCTACAAGTACATGTGTGGTTATGAAGATGAACAACAAACCTCTTAGGCCATAGTGTAACCTCGAATATAACTTCCCCACATGAAATTGAATTCCACCTAGTACATTCCATGATGTTTTGATTCAACTTCTTGAGTATCTCCGGGCATATTGATCCACCATTCAACATCATCTTTTCCTTTTTTTTCCTCATTAATGTCATTGCTTTGATCCTTATTTTGTCGATAAGAATATCCACATGATTGTCTCTATACTTTTTTATGACTCCATTGAAGCACTCAACTATGCTACTTGAGAACACATGACACTTGACATGATTTTGAAAATGTGCTCTACTCCATCTCTCAACACCTATTCGAGTGAGATATTCCCATGCATTGTAATCCTTTTCCTTCATCTTATTCATGTTTCTGTCAAAATCACTAGTGGTGGTGGATCTTGCAGCAAACCAAAACAGAGATCTTAGTTGTTCATCCTTCCATTTTTTCTCAAAGTTGGTATACATATGACGTACACAAAATCGGTGATGAGAAGATGGATACACTTCTTCTAGTGCAGCCACAAGACCCTACCAACCAAGACAAATATGAAACCAATTAGTAAACCATATATATAGGCCGAAACCATAATGTAATTAAAAAATTATGAAACAAGTTAATATTATTAATCCTGATAAAAACACAAAGCAAGAAGCATTTTTAACAATTATGCAAACAATATTTACCTTTCCTTGGTCAGAAATAAATGTCCAACTCTCTCCACGGATGGATGTTTTTCCAATATCTGTCATCAAGTTATTTAAAAACCATACCCACGTCTCTCTAGTTTCAGATGAAACAATAGCATAAGCTACAATGAATAGACCATTGTTCCCATCAAGACTAACCGCTGCAAGAAGCTGACCGCGATAGTATCCACTTAGATGGCATCCGTCTAGTGCAATTAGTGGACGACATCCATTTATAAACCCCTTTTTACATGCATCTATACATACATATATTCTATCAAATCTTGATGGTCCATTCTCACCATGTTTTGGACAAATTAATTCAACTGTTGATCCAGGGTTGGTCTTCAGTAACTCGGCACAATAATTAGGTAATTTAGAATACTGGTGAGCAACATTGCCATGAAGTGATTGTGATGCATATGCTTTTACTCTATAAGCCTTTGCAATACTAGCCATGACATTACATTTCTTATATATAAGATCTTTCACTTCCGGACCTGTCATGTTTGGATGTTCTCTGAAGTCTTCAATTAACTTATTTCCCAACCACTTGGTATCAGCAAAATTTGCCTTCACTCCCTCTTTCTGACAGGTATGACTCGAGATAAATGTTTTGACCTTATAAGTTTCTGAACATCCAACTTTGGAACAGTATATAAGCCACGGGCAATCGTTCACACACTTTACACGACATTTTATCTTATCTTTCTTCAAAAAGGTCAGATTATACATATTTTGAACCCCGTAGGTTTTAACAGCTTCGTAAAAATCATCTATAGATGCAAATGATTGTTCCAACCTGAAGTTGACATCCCCGGGAGCTGCTTGAATATGCGCAGAGTCAGCTTCGTCTGCACTTGTTGGAGATTCGGAATCATGGATGCTCCTTAATTCTGCCAAAGATTCTATCGTAGCTGGCTCAGAGAAATCAGATAAGTCACCTGTATCACGAAATTTATAAAAAGTATCATTGGTGGCATGTGACCAACATGCTGGTTGTTTGTCATCATCGCTATTATATTCATCTAAACTCCAGTCATCATTTTCAGCTGCCATCTGTAAACAAAATTATAAAACAACTATCAAAATAGTGTCAAGCAACTAAAACTTATCTGAAATACAGAAAATTTATCTAACAGATAATTATATCTTTTACCTTTTTTTATTACATCCATATCAATTACACTCCACAACAAAATAATCTCTAGATTATACCACCCAAATTTACTTTAACTTAGGCATGTATGCTCTATGAGTTTAGAGTTTAGGTATGTTCTCTAGTGTTTCCTTCTACTCAATTTTGAAATTCTAATCTGATCTTCACTTTATTCTTCACTTATGGATATAATATGTTTTTGTGAAGGGTATATAGGTTATCTCATGATGAAATCTAAGTACCAAATACTTTTGAAAACACTGTTTCATAACCACTTTCATGATATCTTACAAACCAAAATAATTAAAAAAAATATAAAAAAGCACGATCAATGTCAAAGTATGGTTTGACTGAGTGACTAGCTTGGTGCATTATGTAATTCAAGATGACCCTAGTTTAAACCTTATTAAAGGAGCATGTGCACCGTTTTTTGATGACGATGATTCCTGAAAATTATGTTTTAAATAATCACAGATGTGGTACAAGGATGGGAGAAAGTACAAACCTTTGATGAGAATTGCTGAATCTTGTATGCGAAGAAGGAAGCAACGAAGAAGGAAGCAGCGGAGTCTGGGATAGGTGGCTGCGTATAAGTTTAAGCTTATACGTAGTATATTTTCTAATTCTTTATATCGTTATTAAATATGTATTTGTTTTTTACTTATGTGGCGCCACATCAGACTCTTTAAGTTGTATTTTAACGGTGTTAAAATTTTGAGCATTAAATTGAGAGATTCTAATACTATAGGTCCCTAAATGATAGAGTTTATCTTTCGGGTCCCTAAATGATAGAATGTTCAACTTTGAGGTCCCTAAATGATAAAATTCCTACTAATTATGAGGCCCGGGAAACAGGTAATAAATTTGCTATAAGTGCACATCTACCAAAAGGGGGGATAACAAATTTGTTTTGAGTTCGTACACATTAACTTTGGCATTTTATAAATTTTGAACCGATTTTGATTAGTATAATATCATGAAAGTTTTAAATTTACACTTTTATGAAGTTATAAATTTATACTTTTATGAATATAAATTTTGAATCATGATTTTGATTAGTATAATATCATGAAAGTTATAAATTTATACTTTTATGAAATACTTTTAGCAAAGAACATTTTCATATAATTTATATATTATAAATAATTTTCAATAAAAATATATAATTGGTCAAAGTTCTGAAAACGGAAAAGTTTTTTGGGAGGGAGTTAGTACAAAGTATCACATTGGTAGTCAACGGATTAACAGGGGGTCCGGGAATCATTAATCCCGGTATAACTATTTTTTATTTAAGAAAATAGAAATGAATTTCATCACTAAAATTGAACATAATAATTATTTGATATATCAAAATGTAAATGCAAAGAAACCAAATAGTATGGTGTGATTGTCAATAATATTACACCAATGTTGCAAAGACTCTCACCATAGCTGGGATAAGAAAGGTTGGTTGTACTTGTACGCAGCCTAACCCTTGTACACATAGAGAGACTGTTTTTAGATGACTCATAACGAAAATCGTGTCAAAAACTGTACGCATTGAGTACTGCTTCATAATAAAGAAGTGGAATAGTATTCAACTCAACAACCAATTGAATTCTCTAATTTTTTTCTCTAATAATGTTTTATGGTTTTTGGGAGATAACAGAACTCATCATCAGGAGAAGGTTGCATTCGACATTTGGTCTTCCTCATGGAAAATGCCACCATCAACCTGGCAGAGGGGCAAGAACAAATGTCTTGGCTGATTGATTTCAATGGATGGTCAGTGAGCAAGTCCACACCCATGAAATTAGCACGAGAGATCATCTACATTTTGCAGAACCACTACCCGGAAAGGCTTGCGATTATAGTTCTTTATACCCCACCAAGACTTTTTGAGGCATTCTGGAAGGTGATTACTTATATACCCTAACATATCTTTTTCTTCCAGATCACACAACCCTCTTGTCCAATTGATTAATAAAAGGAATAATTTTTTATATACTTTTTTTCTTGAAATCATATACTTTGTTAAAAAAAAACGTTTATGCACAAATGCACCTAGGATCATATCAGGTAGATTTGACGTTCTCAAAGACTTGTAACTTACTATTAGCTAGGGATGGATCCGGTCCCGGTACAGTCTCAGTTTCAGTTTCGGACCGCCGACTGAGTCTACCCCACCTATTAGCTTTGTAACTAGTCATGGACCCGGGCCGGGCCGGTTCCGGTTCCGGGCCGGGCCCGGCCGGGCTTTTTTTTGGGAAGGAAGGCCCGGGACCGGCCCGGGTAGCCACCGGGTCCGGTCCGGGCCGGGCCTCCGGTTTGGTCATTTTTTTTTTTTTGCTTTCCTAACCCCCTTCCTCACCCCCAAACCCCTCCTAACCATCAAGCCCAACCCGGGTAACCCCAAAAAATGAAGAAAAAAAATCAATTCGGCCCGGACCCGGGCCCGACACGGCCGGGCCGGTTCGCCAAATACAAGGCCCGAGCCCGGACCCCCCCCCCCACCGGGCCTAGGCCCGAACCGGACCCGGACACGAGAACTGGGCCGGTCCCGGGCCGGGCGGCCCGAACCGGGTCCATGACTATTTGTAACGTTACCTAATAACATTATTCATTTTAAGAAATTTTTATGAGAAAGTACAAATTCGACACCAAATAGACTGAAGTACCTGCTGCCGGCATGAAACTTTTCACCTAGAATAGTATATCCAATGGAAAAGCCCTTAATATGAGTATATGACCACATTTATTAATTACATGGTCTGATCTATAAGTGAGTAGAAATTCATAACTAATACGGAGTATTAAGCATATGCATAATTATGGGACTAGATCTAGTGATCTACAACTTTCTGACATTATAATAATTCGACTAACTTGGTTTTAAAAGTTGGCAAGAAATTGATTTATTTGTGACAATTGTAGCTTATAAAAAAGGGGCACATATCATTAACTAAGCATGGTTCGTTTTGAGATAGATGGTGTACAAGTTGCTTTCTTTTTTATAAGTAGTGCTCGTTTACCCAATTACCAGTTTCCATAAAATAGTGGCAACGTCTAATGTTAAATACCCTTTCTAAAGCAGAGTCTACCAAAGAAAGTTAGAATGAGACATAAATTTTAAAGATGTTTTCACTTTGATGGTTTTCACTTCCACAGTTATAAAATACACATAGATTGCACATTTACCTAATCAGACCTGTTCAGATCAGACAAGACCAAACTTAAACAGATCAGACTAGACCAGACCAATAAATTTCAGTCCAATTAAAAAACATGCTAAAACTAATATTATAGGTCATTTCTGCAAGCATGGGAATTATCATTGGAGTATGATAGAATAAAGATATCCAAGTTGGTATTTTCTTGACAACTGATTTTGCATCAATATCAACAGGTAGTAAAGTACTTTGTGGATCCAAAGACATCCCAGAAGATAAAGTTTGTATATCCAAATGATGAAGATAGTTTGGAGTTCATGAAAACCTATTTTGATTCTGAGAACCTTCCCAGTGATTTTGGGGGGAAAGCAACCTTGAAATATGATCATGAAGAATTCTCTAGATTGATGGCTCAAGAGGATGTGAAAACTATAGCATTCTGGGGACTTGAAGATGAACAGAAAACACTCATGTAATGTCAACCCAGAGGCAATGAGGGTTGCCAGACTTGCAAGCTGACTAACTACAACCAGGAATGATGTCTGTAAAATGCAATTGATGTGTAAAACTTTAGTGGTATCAGGTGATTAGCCATTGTTGGCAAAAAAAATTGCTCTTATATTATAAGTAAATAGATACCTTTGCCACGTTCAGTAAAAATTAAACAAAACTTCAAGATTATGGTTACACTTGCACTACCAACAATCTCCCTCTAGCATGGAAGTAGATTTTTTAGGTTGGGCAGGAGAGACATAGGTGGAAGATGATCACTTCAATTTAATGTGAAAATGAAGATTACAAATGTTATCGAAAAAGAAAACCAGAGAGTTGGAGATAATTTGCAGACTTGCAGATTGTGAGTATATGAGAAATGTACCTCAAATGGGATTTGAAACAAAAAAAAGTAGGTGTAATTCAGGTTAACACTGAAAAAAATGAAAATTAAACTAAGTTGGGGGAGGGACAACTGTTGACTGCCGTTGACCGGCAGTCCAGTGTCCAGCAAGTCCAAATCCAGCTGTGCAACCCAGTCCAAAGCAACAGCCCAGCTCCCAGCTCCAGATGTCCAGGTCAGCAGCTCCAGCAGTCAATTAGACTGACCAAGAAGCCCAATAACCTGGAACAGCCCAACAGCCCAAGTCCAGGTTTTAGCCTCTGCGATTCCGTGTTCTACTTCGTCTTCGTCGTTCCAGATGCGAAGAAAAGAAACAAGCGCCCTTCGTCTTCAGCTTCTGCCCGAGAGGAGTAAGGCCAGCAACGAGTTTGGATTCAGTGACTCAGAGTCACGAATCGTGCGACTTCCCGGTGACGAGCTCTGGCGGTGACGGACGGCGAGCTATCTCCGGCGACAGTCCTCTGCAATCGGCGACTCACTTGCAATTCCGGACTGGCTGAGTCGAGAACAACCTCCAGGCGTCCTCCAAGGACTTCAACGGACGTCTAAGGGTTGGCAGTGACCTCCAAACGACGGATAGCGGCGGAGGGTGGCGGAGGGTGGCGGTTCCGGCTCTGATACCACTGTTTGATATTTTGTATCAGTTTATTAAACACATGACAGGTTCTCATCTATATCCTCAATCGGGTCAAGACGAAACCTAAAGAATTTCTCGAGTAAAAACAACTTCCCGGGCAAAGAGGTAAGATTATCCAATTTCTCCCACAACTCCTTAGCAGACTCAACAATACTCACTTTCCTAAGCACAGAATCAGACAGATTCAAGTAAATAGTAGAACAAGCAGTTTCGTTCATTTCAATTTGATTTGCTTTATCTTCTGATTCAAGGAAAATATTAGTGACAACTCTGAAGTTTTGATTTGGGTCTCAATTTGAATAATTTGTATTCGAATCCAAATATGAACACGAGTTTATATATGAATACAATTACGACAAATATGAGTTCATTCAAGTTTTTTCGGATACGAATACAAATATGAGCATATTCAATTTTATATAGATATTTAAATATCAAATCCAGAGTATTTTGTATGAATATTAATACTCATATGAAAACTTATAGTTGAGTATTAATGTGGTGCAAATGCGAATGCCGGTGTCACCCCGATTGAGGTGACCCTCGACCGTTAGATTAGCGACACATGCATACGTTTAGCATTTATGGCTGCTATAAATAGCAACCCCTTTCCCAATTGTAAAGATCCCAGAACATGTTAATTTAATATACTTGACTCTCTCTCTTACTTGTTTGCTCTGACTTCTCTCTAGTTATTCTCCGCAATAATGCCTCGGATAAGCTACCCCTGGGTACACTATCCATCAAATGCAATTAACATTCTAAAATTTCATTTGTGAAAAAATAGTATTGCATCTGGTCATTGCTCTAAAAATCACTCTCGACGGCTGACTAGTCCCCGGCTCCCCGCCTAGGCACTAAGCGGTGGCCAGACACCCCAATTTTAGTGTAGGCGCTCTGACTAATTGATTTGATGCCTAGGTGTAGTAGTCGTCCGACTAGGGCGCCTTGTTACCTACTCAAATCGCTTAATTGGCCGCCTAGGACGGTTAGATTTGTTGAACATTGTCTTTTGCTTTTATATTGAGTTTCCTAAAAAATATATGTAGCTTTAACTATAACAACACATATGAAGAAAGTTACTCATTGTAGATT